TCAGTCGCTTTATTGCAGTCCCACAATGCTTTGCAGTGTTATTGTTGAATCTAGCAAACTTGTATCTTGATTATGCAATCAATGAAGATTCTTTGGCAGTCTTATGATAATTTTTTTTTTTATATCAGTTTTTGTGCAGAACTGATGAAAATCGTTTTAAATTACTAATTTAAATTATATGCAAAATATTTTCTTCATTCCTCTGCATCATCAATTTGTGAGAAATCTACTTGATTATATATTCCTTAGATGAATTTCATTTATGTTTAAATTCAGTAAAAACTACTACTATGATAATACGTTGTGTTCTCATCGTGCGCTTTTTCTTCAGGTGACTTATTTTTTTTTTTTGTTTCTCATGACCTAGCTCTGAGTAAAGTGGTTTGGTGTACCAATAAATGTTTTCACCATGATAATTTTTCAAGTATTTTTTATTTTAATTGTGAACTAAATGGACATACTACTTTAATATTTGTTAGTCACTAAAAATCATGTAATTTGTAGCTGTGAGCGTTTCTCTGCGTCCTTTGCTAGTGTTAGTGACTTTGGAGAAATGTTGTCTTCCCAAGCGCAATGAAATTTACCAGCAGTGAAAATTAAGCAGTTTACAGTGGTTTCCCATTGGCTTTTATCAAAATTTATAAAAAAAAATTATGGTAATAATTGTGCATTTTTTTAGTCTCTTTTATGAAAATAAAAAATTGCTAATCTTAATCAATTTAGTGGAAATTCGTTCTCACTTTTTTGAAGTTCAATTTTATGAATAAAATTAAATTAAATTGTGTTAAGTTGATGATGCATATCTGCTGCATCAATGAATCAACATTGCTTGGTCATGAGAAATAAAACAAAATAATGAACCTTGGTTTATCTCACAGAATCTGACATGTTACAGCGCCCTCACACTTCTATTAATGTCTATTGTGGCACTTATCTCGCTCCATTGACTGACTATATGTACGCTACCGCAAATTTTTTCTTCACGCTTTACTCTTATAAAATAACGTCTTTCATGTTGCAGTCCGATTATACCATTTTCATAATTGCCGCATCAATTTGATGAGTAACCATGACTACATGCATGAAATAATATGAAATTAACCCTGCATGTTTACTTTTATAACAGTTATAGAAGTCTCGTGCGGAGAGTACGGCAATCATCTTCCAGTCCTTGTCAATGCTGTGCGAAACGGCCGATGTGAAGCGTTTCACAGGCAGTACCAGTTACAGTTAAAGGCTCAAGAGAGTGTGTATGCTAATTAATTCCCTGCCATGTCTTTAACGATCTCTTTCCTTCAACCCTCTTCTACCCCTAAAAATAAAAAAAATATTGGATTTTCATACAAATCAGGTTTGCTGCATGATTTTTATAAATCTTGGCCTTCTCCTGAAATGTAAAAAAAACTTGAAACCATATTTTTTGGGGGAATGTGGTGATTGAATCTCCCTGAAACATAGTGGGTAATATTTTTGTCCTATTAAAGCTTAATGGTTTTATAGTAATTAATTAAAAATAATTATTTGCGACATCTAGTAGCGTCACATGATATCAGAACAGTTTCTATAATTGTATCAAAATTGTTGTCTATTTTATACACACTGTATCATACATTGATAATTGAATGTATATTTTAAGCTGTTTTAGGTGGTCCTAGACTCCCTAAGCTTCTGGTTAAGTTACATATTGGATTCTAGTATCAAGTGACCATACTTGAAGTCTTGCAAATCCTTCCTCATATCAATACTAATCTAAATTTTCAACAACCCAGGACTGTCTTGGATCATTTTTTTCTGTATATCTCTCCATTCAATAAGTTCATGTACTAACAAAATTTTTCTAATTATTTTTTTGTCAATATTTTATGGATTTTACAATTTACTACAAAAGCCATACATGTATATTGATAAGAATAAACAGATTTTCTCATCCAATACATTTAACATTTTTTTTTTTTGACTGGAGTTCAAAATATAATTATAGCATATGTTGAATTACAGAAAACAATGTATGTTATCATCTGAAAGTAAAAAAAGAAACTAGAAAATTCTTGTCATTATGTGTTTTTCAAGTGCTAGAATATAGTAACATTGGATTTTACATATTTGGGTTACCCCGGTAACTGCAATGCTTCACGCTGTTATGCTTTGTGGATTTCGTATGGCGTGTGTTAAATTGGTATAAGGTCAATTAAAATTTGCTGAATGGCTATATTCTGCTATGTACATTGCATTGTGGGTAATATTTAGTATCCCTTGCTGTTGTATTTTACTTAAAAGTCAAGTTCAGTCATCATTTTCTGCTCACTAACTGCTCCTGGTTTTAAAGTAATCTAGTAGTTTTATTAGATGACCACAGGATACCATGAAAAAAAAAAATATTTCTATTATTTTTATTTTGTTTCTATTATATAATTTCAAAATTATAGCTGTTGTATAGTTAACTTGTGTTGTCATTTTCCTGGGACATGCAGTGCTATGTGATTTCTGATTTTACCTGAAACGTCATAGACGTTTGCGAAACAAACACAGTGGTTTACCCATGTTAAGCAGCTGTATTTTACATATTATATACATCACATGGGACCCATATCAAACACTGCATTGTAGAGATTTATCTTCCTTATCTTTCTGCAAATTAACATATAATAATGAGTAAATAAAGAACAAATTAACATTGAATTCAACACTCTTTGATATACACTATATTTCTTTACTTTTTCCTTTACTCATTAGTCATTGAAGTGACCTGTGGCGAGTACGGCACCCAACTACCGATGTTGGTTGATGCGGTTAAAGATGGACGATGTGCATCTTTTGATCGTCAATATCAACGACAGCAAAACCGACCACAGAGTATATACGATAATTACACGCCTCCCACGTCAGCGTCGCCGTCATCGCCGACAACTCCAAATCAGCCGAATGGAATCCTTATTGGTTCCAGTAGTGCAGAGAGTTTTGAAAGTAAAGGAACCGGTGACCCTTCACCTTCAGTAGAGGTAAGGTCAAATGTCAAATGCTGAAAATGCTTACTATATGAAATTTAATTGCCTCGTTAATGATTTTTTCAAGTAAGAAGTTGGGTTTAATCAGCAATGCCTCAACTGTCAGTCGTCGCATGTCATATTTTTCTGTATTCCAACTACAGTTATTGTTACTATCGAGAACACTTGAGCTTTATCCCAAACTTGTCACCATACATTTTAATAATGTATGTGTACTATTTGTATATACTGTATGTATGAAAACTTTAGTAGAAGCATAAACTTTAGGTATAGTCAGTCAAATCAGGGTTGGCCTGTCATGAAGAAAAATACAGTAATGTTATCGTTGTGACAACTCATTAATTACTCTGATAGGTTTTACTAAATCTTTGTAAATATGGTAAATTAAATGTCACTCGTGACTTTCATCAAATTGTAACAAAAAAAAATCAGAGGGAGTTCTGGGTAAAATATACTACATGTGATGTTTCACCTCATTTTGTCCCATTTCCTCATTTGCATATGCGAAGATCCAGAATTGCAAAGCAGTGCAGGTTGTCATGACAATGGATTCTCGTAATGGTCTCACCAATGGTACCATCTCATCTACAGAAAGCAACAAGTACCAGGTAAAAAGCGATTAGCTAGAAATGCTAGCGGCATTTGTTCTGTGTATGAATGTTAATACATTATAGTGATCATTATAGTGGCTAGAAATGCTTAACAGTTAATAGTTTTACATTTTCTTTGGATGTGCTTTCTAGTAGTTACATATACTGTTATATACTGTTCGTGGTGCATGGAAATGTATATATTTCACAGTTAATTTAAATGTCTAATCTCTAGTATACGTTGAACCATTTTCAAAATCAAATGTTGGGCAGCTAAATATTACAAATTTTCTATAATTTACTTGACAGATCAGAGCGATATTGTGAAAAATTGACGAATAAAGGCTGACTAACACTATTATGTTCATTTCACAGACTGATGTTCAAGTGGATGTCAAACATACATTTGCTACAAGTTCATTTTTACAATTCTGTATACTGTTTCACAGAACATTCCTCACAATAATCAGGGACCAGGTAAGCTGTAATTTTCTAGTCTCTGTGCGTGTCACAATGATTGGTGAACAGGTTTTACTCTTCTAATTATGTGTATCTTTAACCTTTATATTAAACCGTCATTTTGGGGATCCCAACGATTCCAGAGTCATCAGTCACTAGATCAAATCTTACCTCGAGTTGGAGTTGAAAATGGGTTGACTACTTAGTGTGTTATATACTCAATTGCGCGACCAAAGCAGGGCAGAGACACCTCATATAAAAACCACTTTGCACCACAGTCGCTATGTTCCACATGTACACTTCATCTCAAGCCATTATTTACGACACAGTCACCTTGTCCCGAGTAACTTCGTACCACATGTGCACTACAGTTGATATTAAAACAAGAAGGATAAGAAACATTTCAAGTAGTATTTGGGTTGGTATGTGCAGAAAGTAGCGATACTACTGTATATGGTGTCTTACATTATGATTATACATGGTCCCCAATCAGGAGCGTAATTGTCGTATGAATCCTACATTATATTATTATTTTTATTTCAGGTGTTAACACAGATGCGTATCTTATCACACATAGTGATCGGCATCATGATTGGATTGTTGTACCTTGACATTGGCAATGACGGCAATAAAGCTTACAGTAACTGTGGATCTCATTTCTTCTCTATACTTTTCTTGATGTTCACCGCTCTTATGCCAACCATTCTAACATGTAAGTACGCGCTATCCGAGGTTATCACGAGAATACCACAAAGTATGCATCGCTACATCAACTGATGCGTAATGGATGGCGATTATGCATTTCCTAAATAGCGCATATTTTGCAGTACTGTAGAATATTTTATTTTCAGTTGGAATTAATGTTTGCTATTTTCGGTGAAAGAATGATCCAGCGAATATACTGTTTTTCCGATATTATACATTCAATTTGTCAAAAATCAGTGAAAATAAATTCCATACAAAACACCCGAAAAGTCTTTTCAGCGAAAAATTAATTACAGTTAAAATAAAGTATTTACAGTTTTGTTTGTTTCACTTATTTTGCCACTGCACAGCGCCATCTGTTGACGAATTCTTTGAATCTGCAAATTTATTGCACAAGAAAATATTTTAACACAAAAATTGCATCATTACCAAATTTTTAAACACTAATTTGACCAGAAACTAACAACTAGCAGTACCCATCTTATAAACTACATACGATTTCTTCCACTATAGGTAGCTGAACAGAATTTTTAGCTATAGGAACAGGCTCAAAAAATTGACCCATTTTTGTGCATAAAATATTTCAGTGTAAGCAGGTATGACATGCCACTGACTCACAATAGTATGTCACTGACAGAGTTGACATCATTCATCGTGGAAAAAAATTCTTACTATAAATATAGTTATGAAATTTGGTAAAATGAAATTTCATATTTCAACAAAATAAGTAGAAAATATGAAGAAAATCAGGCGGCACAGCATTTTTATTTGTCCCTCAAGTCTCCTTTACAATCTTTCAATTAACCCATACAATTTTTTGTTGACACTCTCCACAGCTGACTCAACTTGGTTTTATGGGATTGCATTTTGATTCAAGATCCCTACAAAGTCGTTCCTATCAGAGGGTTCACTGGTTCAATGACTATACTTTTTTAATCTTGAGTTCCGTGAACAACAGCGCAAATAAAAAAATGCCTAATAAAATGCAAGGAAATTTGTTGATCTGTTTTAATGGGTGACAACTATTCAATTTTATTCAATTTTATTTCAGTTCCGGTGGAGATGGCAGTCTTTGTGAAAGAACATATGAATTACTGGTATAGCTTGAAAGCATACTATCTTGCTAAGACTATGGCTGATGTACCATTTCAAGTATGTACTCATTTTTAAAATTATTTCATTTTCATAGTAATATTCTCAGAAATCACATAATTTATTTCCAAGCGCATTCTGAATTAATATCAGAAAGTGTATCTCATAAACAGGTAGTACGCATGAGAAAAAAAAAATAGTTCCGAGTTAGACATTTTGAATAAAGTTATGTTTTGAAATTGTCTCAGGTACACCTGCAGAACAAATGATGCATGTCATACAATG